TGGCTCTCATAATGTTGTGTGCGCAACCAGCACACACCTCATTTCATGTACCCTTTAAGTGCATGTCACTTGCAGTACTGGTAAGAGAAAAAAATGTGAACGAAAACCAGCAGAATCTGCAACCCTAGGCATGGACAATGGTAAACTAAATGTCTTGTGGGGCAAACATAGAACTCCAATGGGCCACATTCAGCCCTCAGGCCACAGGTTGCCCACCACTGCTTTAATTATAACATATAGTTGGTGCCTGAGTCAAGGTGGTGAATAGAGATGAGTCTGGAAATTCTGCTTTTGCTCAGAAGTACTTCCATCTTGAGACAGTCATCTAAAAGAAATATAGATAAAGCTGCATGTTAATTTAATGTGGAGGGGGTGAACAGAGGAGAGTTGTTAAAGGGGTCAGTGAGAGAGAACCTAGGCTAGTAAGTGGGCAGGAAAAAATAGTACTTTGAAAATGCTCACGATTGGAGAGCCATGTGCAGCCCAGTTTTTCTCCCAGGCCCCATCTCAAGGCCCTTGGCATTGTTTCAGTGTAAATTCTTTCTCCTGTGTTCTTCTGAGGCTTGGGCAAAACAGTTTTGAGGAGGGAAAAAAACCAAATCAATCAATTGGTGACACCAATAACAGAGGTAGCATATAAAATGATGGGGTCTAAATTAGTTATCACTCAAGAAAGTGATCTTAACGTAAGTGTGGATAGTACTCTAAAAAATTTGCTCAGTGTGCAGCAGCTGTCAGAACAGCTAATAGAAAATGAGGAACCATCAGGAAAGGGAAAAAGAAAAAAAAATAACATCAATGTGCATTACTTTGCTTTTCATGAGTGAATTTCATTTGCCATTTGCCCAGCCATACAGTTTTTGTGTTCTCTTCTCAGTCAGCTTTGGACTTACTTACCTTGAGAAATTTTGTATAATCTGAAAACTTGTCCACTTCACTGTTTACCCTTTTTCCATGTTATTTACAAATATGTTGAACAGCACAGGTCCCAGAACAGATTGTTGGGGCACTCTTTTATTACTTGTCTCCATTGTGAGAATGGAACATTTGTTCCTACACTTTACTTATCTTTTAGCCACTTACTGCCCTCCCCTCTCCCCCGGCCCCAATCCCGGCGGCTTTATCCGCCGGTGCCGGCTCCCCTGGCTGTATCCAGCGCTGGGCATTCTGTGTCAGTGCGCACGGCCTTCTCCCTGGGTCCTAGCGTCTGCCGGATCTAGCCCTACTGCCTAGGAGCATGCCCGTCACACAAATGAATAGGATCGTGTGCGATAATTTTTCTGTGGACCGGTACTGGGCCGCAGACCACACTTTGAGAAACGCTGCATACCGGTACTGGGCCACAGACCACACTTTGGGAAACGCTGCACTATAGCAACCAGTTCAGTCTTGATTGCATGCTTGTTGACACCCTCAGAGATTCCAGTAGATTGAGGAGGCATGATTACTCTTTACAAAAGCGGTGTTGACTCTTCCTCAATAGACTGTGTTCATTAGTGTGTCTGATAATTCTGTTCTTTAGTATATTTTTCAGCCAATTTGCCTGGTACTGTAGGGTAGGCTCATATGCCTGTAATTGCCAGAATTGCCTCTGGACCTTTTTTTTAAATCAGTGTACATTAGCTATCTTTCAGTCATCTGTTACAGAAGCTGGTTTAAACAATATTTTACATTGTTAGTAGTTCTGCAGATTCATATTTGAATTTCTTCAGAACTCTTGGGATTCAGTGTGTGGGAGAGGACTTAGGCCTGTAGCAGAGGGTTGGCAGTACAGGGGTGTTTGAGGGTTCTGTCTGGAGATGCAGGATCTGGGGAGGGGCTAGGAATGAGTTGTTCAGGGCATGGGAGGTGGCTCAGGGCTAGGGCAAAAGGTTGACGTGTGGGTAGGAGGGGCAGGCTAAGGGCACCAGCTGGCATATGAGGCTGGGGATGAGGGCCTTGGACTGCAAGCTGCCCCAGGGTTAAAGCAAGGAGAGAGAACTCCCACTAGCCCTCTCTCCTGACAGCAGCACCTGGATTGGGAGGGTAGAGGTGCTTCTCTCCATGATGGCAGCTTTAGGGCTGAGGTTGGGGGAGAGGCTCCTCTCCCTGCCACAGCCCTTAATAGGCTGCTGTGCAGCCGCACAACTTAGAGGAAACTTAGGTCACTATTATCGAGTGAAAAAACTTAAAAACCAATGGTCCTGTAGCACCTTAGAGACTAACAAAAAATATATATAGTAGACTGGCACATAGCTATTGTAATTGACTGTGCAAATCCAATATTGGACCCATGAGCCATGAAAGTTAGTATCATGAACTTTTGTGGGCACAACCCACTTGTTTATTGAATGGTTCAGCTATATTCACCTCTTGAACCAGATCCTGTGCTTCATCTAGGACTAAATAAAAAATTGCCTCTTCCCTTTTGGCAGGGGTGGGGAACCTGTGGCCCCCAGCTTCCCTGGATCTGACCCCAGCATCTCAGAGCTCCCCTGTGGGGCTGGAGCACACAAAATCTACTTGCTCTGGGGTCAGTGGCCCCCAACCCAAAAAAGGTTTCCTATAGGGTCCAAGGCCTTATAGGGTCCAAGACTAGCTGTTCCACGAAGCAGTCCCTACAGGTGTGTAGAAAGTGTATATCTGCATCTTGTCTTGTCAGGAGTGGAGCAGGGCCAGGGCAGGAGTAAGCCTGCCTTTACCACCGAGCTCCACCACCCGGGATGCCATCTCAGTTAAATGGTGCCCAGCCTGAGCCTGTTTCCTGAACCCCTGTCCCAGCCTCCTATACCCAACCTGCTGCCCAGGACTTGAGTCCCCCTGCACCCAAACTCCTCCCAGAGCTTGTACCCTGAAACCCCTCCTGGACCCCAATGCCCCACCTAGGGCTAAGCCCGGAGCCCCTCCCACATTTAGGGTTGCCAGATGGTTTCAGCAAAAATACCGGACACATTTGACATTACATCACAATCTACATTACAACTTATTTCCCAAACAGAAAGCTCAAATACTGGACTGTCCAGTTCAAAACCGGACACCTGGCAACCCTACCCACACTCCAAATCCCTTGCCCCAAGACTGGAGCTTGCACCCGAATCCTTACCCCCAGCCTGGTGAAAGTGAATGAGGTTTGGAGAGGAAGGGGAATGGAGTGAGCAGGGGGAGGCCTCGGAGAAGGGGTGGAGTGGGGCAGGGTCTCAAAGGAGAGGCGAGAAGGAAGTGGGGCAAAGGTATTTGAGTTTGAGATAGATCTTACATTGCCCTTAAATTGAAAAAGTGATCTTGTGGTTAAAAGGTTGGAGACCACTGATTTAATATCTTGTTTGCCTCTGAAACCATTGTTGTAGGCTAAGGTGATTTCGGTCATTTTTCCACAATAATTAGCTTTGATTAGTTACAATTTGCTCTTATTTTTAGTATCTTCTGCAAACCTGGAGAACTTATTTCCAGTACAGTTATTCATTTCACTGATTGTATGTGCATGCTGCCATGGCAACGCTTATGTTTAGCATTGGAATGTAACGAGTCTTACTGTGGTAATACAAGTATTCACTGTACGATCGATGGTGGCACTAATTGCATTAACGTGCTAAATGTCAGTGCTCTTATGATAACTACTGATCACTTGTATGTGGACAAATTTTCACCCATTTCTGGAACTGATTCTGCAGAAGATGAAGACTGTGCGCAAGCTTGACTCCTCTCTTGTCAAATTGAAAAGCTCCCAGCTATGTGTTCTCTCCCCTTCAGACAGCTGGGTTTCTTCAAGCACTGTATTGCACCTCCTGTTTCCCTTTCCTTATCTTTGATTGCAATCCCTTGTCAAACAGTTTTTGAAAAATCTAAGTGTAACTACATCCACTGAATTTGCCTTTATCTTGGTGGTAATACCTTCAAAGAACTCCAGCAGGTCAGTAAAGCATTTTCTTCAATCGCTGAATGCATATTAGATATCACTCCAGCTGTGCATACATCCTGCACACTTCACAGAGAAGTGTGTACATTTTATTTTGACAACTTAATGCTATCATTTCTCTTGGAAAAATTATAAGTGCTGGTAAGAATCAGCATTTTTTCTTTTTTCTGTGCCATTATAGAGTGAGTAGCATGTTGGATTCTCAGCGGGCAGGCTGGAGATGGCATTCATTGTGTATGTGCTGCACTTAATCACCTTTCCAAACAAAATGCAGCATTTAGTTTTACACTTAGGTTTTAGGAAGGTGGCCAAGGGGACTTGCTAAACCTTTGTAGTTTCCAGAGTGTAATGGTAACTTGTGTACTGAAGGAAATAGCACATTTTAACTACTGAACAGCTAATCTTTATACACTCAAGTATTTTCTTATGTGATACTGAGATTTTTTTTAGCATTTGAAATCAAATATGAATCATTTTTAAAACAATTGTTACTTGTCTACCCTTGAATTTGGGGGCATACTCCACCAGGTGACAAGTTTATGTAAGAAGGTTTATTTAACTCAGGCTGTCAAGAACGTTGCATAGTATTTTTTGTCCAACTACATTTTGTGAAAATGACTGCACTATACCTCATGAAAATGCCTCTTGACTACAGTGATTATTTTCCGATATTCCTGCATTTCATGGGTGAGGTATTATGTTTAGCTCCAGCAATAAGAATCCAGGATAAGTCCATTGATTTTTAATAGATTTGCTCCAGTTCGGTGCCAGTGGTACTAAAGACAGAAATGTGGCCCTAGATTCTTAATATAGAAAATTAATCTAGATGTATAGCTATCTCCAATTTATCCCATGTGAAAAGAGAGGAAGGATTTGTCTATTAAGACTGCTGTCATGTTACACCTGTAATTGAAGAGTATGCCGGTGAACTATTTTTATGGCATCATATACTCTTTTGTACAATACTGCCATCACAGTTTCTGAGTAACTGCACCTGTAGGGATGGTGTAGACGGAGCTTGGTCCTGCCTTGAGGGCGGGGGGCTGGACTCGATGACCTCTCGAGGTCCCTTCCAGTCCTATTATTCTATGATTCTATGTATCCAATCAATATGGAGTTAGCTAAAATCCCTACTATTATTGGGAATAAAGAAATGGTTTCAATAGAGAGAAAGCTCAGTGCACTCAGTTGTTGTTTTTATTGGCTTTAATGACTGATGACAAATTATTAGCAAATGAAAATAATTCTCTACACTATTTGGTAGTGAAGGTAAAGGTAGCTGCAAAATGACCAAAGTAATGTAGGGAAGTATTTTGCGATTTCTCCTGCTTTTGGAAACCAGTGATGCCATTCTTTGCACAGTCAAAAAAAAGGAAATAAATTGTGTACCATGGTACTGTTTCACCCGGGCTGCTGTTTGTTCACAGGATTGTTAATTTTAATCCACTACCATGCTGCTCACATACGGTTCTAAGAGTAGTAGGAGTATCAAAGAATAGTGGTTTGAGATCTTGTCAGAGATTGGGTAGATTGTTATATAGGATATAATATAAAGAGTTCTCTTTTAGATGGATGTCCATGGCAGAATCCGAGAAGTTCTTGCTGAGACTATACGTGAAGAATTAGCGCCCGAGCATCAACAGTTATCTGCAGAAGATCTGATGAAGGCTTTAAGACGACGGGGAATCATTGATGATGTTATGAAAGAACTTACATTTGTAACTGTGAGTTGTACTGAGATGAGGGCTTGAAACAAACAAAAAATATGTGAATCAGAGTGGAATTGTCATCTTGGCATTGTGGAAATTCAACGGAGAGTGAAAGCTCAATGTACTGAAATGATACTTATATTAGCTTTAATTACTGTTACCAGATTGTTAGCAAATCAGTGTAACATTTATTCTGAAGTCCTTGTTTCTGAAATCAGTTGAAGTTACGTGTTAGAATGTTAAGAAGCAGGTATTTCACTAATCATGTAGTCAATAGAATTTTTATCGACCACATGATTAGTCGATAAGGGAAGGTGCTCAGTCCCAACTCGTGCCAGGTCCGAGAGCTACCCCCACTGTGGCTCTGAATTTTAAATGTAGTTAAAGCCAGGCAGGCAGGCAGGCAGGCAGCCTGGCTCCTACTACATTTAAACTGCAGAGCTGCAGCGAGGTACCTCCCGGACCTGGCATGAGCCGGGACTAAACGCCTTCCCTTATCAACTAATCATGTAGTCAATAAAAATTCTATCAACTACATGATTAGTGAAATACCTGCTCTGTCTGCAGAGTGCGGGGGGAGTTCAGTAGGGAGCTGGGACCCCCCCATGAACAGGGGCTGCTGCCGGAGCAGG